CCACCCCCACTGACCAACCAACCAGTCCAACCAACCACCCCCTCTGACCAACCAACCAGTCCAACCAACCACCCCCTCTGACCAACCAACCAGTCCAACCAACCACCCCCTCTGGCCAACCAACCAGTCTAACCTGCGCCCACGCGGCTCTTTCTCTTTCATCTCATGCTCTCTCTCTCTCCCACGTTGCAGAAAGATTTGCGATCCGAACCTGTCTTCGTTTGAGCCGGAAGCTCTCGGACATCTCGTGGAAGGCATGGAATTTCACAAGTTCTACTTTGACAATGGTAAACCTTTCACGTCGTCATTCAGCTGGTGGCCGGCGGGCGGGCGGATGCAGAGGGAAAGCCTGTGCTGTCATGTTGCTGCTGCTGCTGCTGCACCGCGGCACCGCCTACTACTACTACTGCGGCTGCTGTTGCATGCTGCTGTTGCTACTGCTACTGCTGCTGCTGTTGCTACTGCTACTGCTGCTGCTGCTACTGTTTTTGTTGCTGCTGCTGCTGCTGCTGCACCGCGGCACCGCCCCCACACCCCGGTGTGCTCCCCCCGCACGTCCCTCCTCCTTCCGCCCGCGGCTCACGCTACCTCCCTCCCTCCCCCAGCTCCCCGCTCCCGCTAACTCCCTCCTTCCCTGCCCGCCCCTCGCGGCAACTGCACAACGTGGTAGATGTTTGAATGGACGCCTCGATTTGCGCTAGTTGTTGTTCCGCGCCCAGCCTCCCACCTCGCTCGACACCCTCCCTGTCACTCTCCCAATTCATTGTGGTAGATCATGCACTAGCTGCTGTGTAGACGTCTATAGCTCCCTATAGCAGGAGGGCTCTCTGTACGGTGCTGCCACGCCCAACACTAGCTGCGGATAGTTGAGAATTTCAATGCTGCAAATCAGCGTTAGCGCGCTGCGAAGTGGCGTCCTTTGCAGGTGTGCACGGTGCTGCGAGGTGGTGCCCTCTGCAGGTGTGTACGGTGCTGCAAAGTGGCGCCCTCTGCGTGCCCAGGGGCAGCGCAACCGCAATTTGGAGCGTTGAATTTGGATCGCACTCGGATGCATGCTCTATTGTTTTACGGCTTGGCTTTCCTCGATCGGTCCCCTGCGACTAAAACTCGATCGAAAACTAGCCGGTGACAACGCGACCAGCAGCTTAGCTAGCTGCCGGTTCGACGATTGTCTCCGGCTGCTTGCTTAACCTAACATCTGCTCGCGGTGGCAGCGGAGGCGGCACGACGATTTTACATTTATGCAGCGATTGCTTTGAGCTTTTTTCGGTGTTTTTTCGAGAGCCCGCTTGATGACACGTGAATAATGCGTTACCATCCGTCGTCTGTTGCTGTCGTTGTTGTTGTTATTTTTGTTGTCGTTGTCGTCATCATCGTTGTTGTTGTTTTCGTTGTCGTCGTCGTCGTCGTCGTCCTTACATCGCACATATATACGTTTTGCACAGTAACACGCACCTCGTTGGTGTGCCCGCGTGGGGGCGCCACCGTCCTGTGTCGGTGGCGCCCTCTCGGTCGCACTCCTAACGTAAATTTCGATACGCGTAATTTTAACGTCTCGATGTTATAACGAAATATGTCTGCGAAATATTTTACGAAAAAACTGTCGAGTCAATGCTTTTGGTGAGCGTTTACGTACGTTAACGCCACAGTGACATATCGCCTTAGAGTGGCCAGTTCTCGCAGCCAAATGCATAGATATACCTACACTGTGAGCTCGTCTATGTTGTAAAAATTCACTACAACTCATTTGTATTGCTACTTTCATAACATATTTCTTCAGCAAATCTAAACGAAAGTACTTCTCTTACGAAAGTAGCACCACAACAATGTTTACACATCCGGGACACAGTCGAGCGATCGCAATTTTCATTAACAGTTCTTTTCTATGATAAAACATCGATGTGTTTTCAGTACAAAATTGTAAAATTTGTTTAAATTATATGTTATCTACATTACATAATTATGCAATCAGCAAACATTAAAAGCACACAAAATATAGTGTTGTGTTTCCTGGAACTATTTGCGCTAGCGTAGGTTGGCCTACTGTTGACGTTCTTGGTCGCTTCGCTTCAAACAATTTATGTGTATCTATACACCAAAACTTTCTCCGAGAAAGTTTTCACAATTAATGCTCTATACCTCGGAGCACATTTCTCGTTCAATGAGAACATTTCGTGATGTTTTCATACTGCAAGTATGCTCACAGTAGGTGTATTTATGGTGTATTTATGTTGCGAGAACTAGCTGCTTTGAAGCCTTAAATTGACTATATGTCACGAATATTCTATGGTGTATATTTGTAAAAAAAAAATTGCCAGTTTTTCACATTAAAAGTAGGAAAGTAGGGGCCTACTAACGGGACTAAATGTATCCTCAAATTCTTGCATGATATTGATAAGATTGTTTCTCAACTAGTTAAAAAAAAAAAAAAACTGGACGATTTGATATTATGATCCCATACATGTTAACCCCTTCGGATGCCCACCTGTATAACCTTCTGGAAAAATCCATAAAATCCATAAGAAATTCTTAGGATCTACAAATCACAACAAAATTAGTTTAATATTAATACTTTATTAACCGAGAGTCATCTCTGCAGTCTCTAGGATGCATTCACTGCAGCAGCAGTAACCAGTAACCAGTAGGTCCAATGAGGCCATTAAACATCTCTTTCCATTCAGGGAGAAACCTCCCGCTGTACTTCATAATCATTCTCTTTTTGGGAGTCCCCATTCTTTTACGCTCATTCACAATCGCTCAGGTAGAAACTCACCTCGGGATCGATATGCCGTTACAACAATGAAAATTCGTTGGGTTCAAATGCAGCTCGTTGCGCATGCTCGGAAGTCGAACGAGGTCTCCGGCCCCATTAGTCTGTGGTCTCATCACAGACTAACACATCCGTTAGTCACAGACTAACACATTCGTTAGTCTGTCGTCTCATTGCCGCGAGACTTCACTTAAAGTTAAACATCCGGTTGATGTTCTTTATTCTCTTTACTTGTGTGCACGTGTTCATGCGTTATTTTATCGTTCTCTAAACAAAACAGCACGCAATAAATTTTGAGCCAAGTTTGTTTATAATCCGTATGATTTTAGGTGTACGCCCGTAAACAATTTTAATGGGTGAAAATCCGTAAAACTTACGGACATTCCGTATAGGTTGACATGTATGTGATCCTGACATTAATTGCTTGCTATGGGCTATATGTATGAGTTACGAGTGTATGTTTACATCGAACAATATAGTAAAATAGGAAAAATAATGCAGCAATTTAACCATAAAAAGTGAACAGAATTACTTACATTTTGTGAAAAAGTGGAAATATTTTTTTACTTTTACTAATTACGGTGACGTAATCACCAAGTCGTCAAGTTCTTTTGCTTCGTCTACCGTGGTGCGTGACACGTTGAACGCTAACTTGTTTGTCGTGTGGAACGCTGTGCGTTGTTGCTTGCAGTGCTTGGCAAGAACTGTAGAGCAATCAACACGACCATTCTCAACCCGCACGTTCACTTGTTAGGCGAGGACGCTGCCTGCATCGCGTACATCCGACTGACGCAGTTCGTCGACAGGTAACGTTGCCGTGACAACTGCGCGAGCAGAGTCGCGTGGCAGAAAATTGCAACTTTCCGTCTTCTCGTTTTCGTTTTAATCGCCGATCGTTTTCGATTTCGTTTCGACTTCCTTGATCCTTCGGGGCCGCGCGTCATCCCCGTTTCCGGCGGCCGGGCGTGCTGCGCGCGTCCCACACAAACTCCACGACAGATGGCGCTCTCGCTCTCGCTCTGGCTCAATTCACCACTAATTTTGTAACGCTTTTTTACCACAAGTTTTACAGCGGCCAGGTTACTCTATTCTATGTAATAAGATTTGTACTAATAAACGCTGCAAAGATATTAAAAATCCGACCATTATTTCATGAAAAATTTGATGAAATAGTGATAAGAAATTGTGTACCCATTTACCTCTTTCAAATCATATGCTGTTTACGAATCGCCATTTGCTGGATTTCCCCGGAGCTCCGCCCACTTTAAAAATAGTGCCAGCCTTGCGGCAGTGGTATCCCGAGTTGTACGAAGGAGGTGCTGCATGGAGTTTGGCATCCTACAGCCGTGTCCCGCGTCGTTTCAGGAACGGGGTTCCGGTCACGCAGCAGTCTGAGGAAACTCGCATCTGGCATCGGAAAGACAACAAGTGGCAGAACGTTCACTTCCACCGATCCGGCAGCGCTACCGTCAGCAGCAACTAGGCGGCGCCACCATCGTCTGCCGCTGCGGAACATTCGCCCGTCGGCGCGGCAACTAGGTGGCGCCACCCACGGCCTCCGCATCCGTGGAGCGTTCTCTTGTCGACGTGACGGTTGGCGCCGCCCCAGCGGGGCATCTCGGTGGCGCCCCCTGTGTCTGCCGCCGCCGCGACGAAGCGTTCCCGCGTGACTCGACCGTCGCAGACGCGCTTTTGTGGCGCCACCTATTCCTGCTGACACGGCGACGTTTCCCCCATTCAACGCGGCTGTTGATGATGCTTCGGCGGCGCCACCTACGTCAGTAATCGCCACCTCTTCTTTGACGCGGTGGCGCCACGCGACAAGCAGACGCTCGACACCCCCTCCCTTCCACCGACTTGGCTTCTCACGAGGAGGAGAGGTGGGAGGGGGTGCAGGCCCGGCGGGTGGTCGTGCATTGGTCGGTCGGTGGGAAGGAGGGAGGCAGGGATGGAGGGTGGGGGTGTGTGGGAAGGCGCGGCGGTAGGTTTGTAGGCTTTTGTGCAATGTCGTGTTTTTTTACAAACCGCCGCACCGTTGCCACGAGCGACGACGATCAACCCCTCTTCGACCTTGAGTGATGCTGTTTGACCTCGATCGACCCTGATCAACCTCGATCGACCCTGATCAACCTCGATCGACCCTGTTTGACCTTGATCGACCTTGAGCGACCCTGATTAACCTTGGGGTGGAGGCAATGTCGGAGCGGGGTTGGATCGTCCGTGGCGCGTGCGAGGGTCGTGTGACTTGTCTTCGTGCATACGTGTCCACGTTCGTTCAATTCATTTTTCTGCTTTTCAGCTTCTGTATAGTCAAAAACATATAATTTTACTTTAAAAACATTTAGATTGGCCCACTGTGTAAAATTATATGACAACAAATTTATTTTTGTGCCAGAAATGGCGGCCATCTTGAATTTTCAAGTGGCTAATGGGCTTTTTGAAAAAAGTAGTTCCAAAGGAGTGTCCATGAGAATTTTGGTGCTTGCCTCACAATTTGAACGATTATTTCACTTATCTGCTGGACTGCAGTCCAGATATATTGCGTCCAACCTTCTTTCTCGCAGCAGATGCTGCCGGGAGCCCTGATCGCATGTGACGCTCCATGTGACCTCTCTAGAGGAGATGACTCAAAGGTCACGGCTTGCTACCAATAGAAACGCGGTCCACCAATGAGCTCTGGTATAGCGTGAGTTCCCCCCATGACGAGGTTATCCCCCGTACGATGTCTACAAGCGAATAGAGGTCAAATTCTCATGCACCAATGAAATGCGCCACAGGCCCTGCTAGGCGTGCCTATTCGTCCTTGGCATGTATAAAGGGTAAACTCTTGATGGGGAGTAAAGAGTTTATATGAGATGTTATGCTACTGCGGCCGGTATCGAGGCAGAGTAAAATGACATCTCCTAGAACATGCTTACTCCACTAGAAACTGTTGCTATACAGCGTTGCTAGGGACTTCATCTAGAGACTGTTGCTACGCGTCGTTGTTAGAGACTTCTCCTAGAGACCGTTGCTATGCGTCGTTGCTAGAGACTTCTCCTAGAGACCGTTGCTATGCGTCGTTGCTAGAGACTTCTCCTAGAGACCGTTGCTATGTGCCGTTGCTAGAGACTTCTCCTAGAGCCGTTGCTATGCTTGCGTTGCTAGAGACTTCCTAGAGACCGTTGCTATGTGCTGTTGCTAGAGATTTCTCCTAGAGACCGTTGCTATGTGTTGTTGCTAGGAATCGCATCCCTGAACTGTTGTTAGGTTTCCTGCTGTGGATGCTGCGGGTGATGGTGCGGCGTGATTCCGTCGCAGCATTGAGTTTGCGATCAGGGCGCGCTGGTTATTGATGAGTGATTGATTGCTATTGCAGCTGATCGAGGCTTTGTCGCGTTTTATCTATTCACTGATTAGTTGTTGTGTTGCCTGCACAGCCAATACGTGTGTCATCTGTATCTGTGTGAGAAATTTTAGCAGCCCCACGGTATTGCGTGTTTGCCTTCATTTTAACGCGTGCCCCGCGCTTCGGTGTCGTAAAAAGAGGCGCCCCCTAGTGACCGAGATTTGGTCGAGCATCGAGACACGAGGTGGCGCTGCGGCCATCCACGTCATTGCGTTTCCCGAGCAACGCGAGTTGCCAGTAACCATGGCGACGGCGGTGGTGGCAGTGGGGGGCGACAACTTTTTACGATTTTGATTCTTTACGAGTCCTGAGTGTTAACTATTTGTTGTCTTCATTGCCAGAGCCGAATAATATCTATATGTTGTTCATGTTATACCTATATATAATACATATAGTCATAGTATATATATATATATATAGTATATATAATTAATATATATATATAATTATATAGGGCCGTTTATACCGATTTATATGACGGTTATTACTCGGTCTTTTATGATTGCTTCGTGTTTTTGCTGTTCGTTATTCGTTATGATATTGTCGCGTGCGTGCGTGCGTGCGTGCGTGCGTGCGTGCGTGCGTGCGTGCGTGCGTGCGTGCGTGCGTGTGTGTGTGTGTGTGTGCGTGCGTGGCGTGCGAGCCATAGCAAACCATGAGCAACCCTCTCCATGTTTACCCCTTTCCCTGTCCCGCGTGTCTGTTATGACGTCATGGCCCCCCAACCCCATATTAATGCCTCTTGTCAGCAGTGTACATAATAGCTCTAGTACCATAGCGCGCGTACAGTTGCCGCAGGCCTGCGGCCACTGTACGCGGGCTATAGTACTAGAGCTATGTACGGGAGAGAGAATACTTGCCACTAGGTAGCGCTGCTTGGCGACGGTATCCAGCGATGAATCAGCAACCTTACAGGAATGAGTCCAGGGGTGGATCCAGGATTTTTGAAAGGGGGGTGTCCAGGAAGAAGTAAAGGGCACTTTTTCCTGCTTAATTTTTCTGGTGTTTTAAAAAGCTGCCGAAGGCCACTGAGGGGGGTTTGGGGGACATACCCAAGAAAATTTAAAAAAATTGGTGCATTCTGAGAGCATCTCAGCAGCAATTTTTGATGTCTGGAATGCAAACATTTATCAGATCCGGTCCCCCGGACCCCTCCTTGCCCATTTCTAGGTTTTTATAACGAATTTATATATATATGTATATAAGTAAATTTTTATCAGAAAAACTAGCCCTAAAAAATTGGAATGAATTTTTTTAGGGCACTTTGAAATTAAAGGGAGGGTCCGGACCTCCCGGACACCCCCATTGATCCGCCCCTGGAGTCTAAGGCGAGTTAAGATGTAACCACGGAGGCATCAACTAGATCAGTGCTATTCGAAGCTATCTCACTGGCTGCGGCTTCAGCGACAGTAGCGCCATCTAGCGGCGGTGGTCTCTCCCCATGTAAATCTCAAGCTTTGATTCTCGTCGTCGACGCCGCTATCGAGCTGTGATTTTTACAGTTACATCTTTTACAAATACTTGTCAGTGCGCACACGTGTGTGCTTGTGCGTGCGCGTGTGTCTGTGTGCGTTTGTGCGTGTCTGTTAGCGGTACGTGCACCGCCTAGTTTTATTCATGTTCGTGTTTCTACGCGTTCCGACAAAAAAAAGAGGGGCCGGCGTATGTATTTCACTCACCTGTAATTAAGGTACGTTAATGAGCAGGTGATGATGGGGGTCGACAGGTGAAATAAAGCGGCACATCTGCGCGGGGGCCGGGTCACGCACGTGCAATCACTATAGCCAGGTGAGATAATTTGAGGTCAAGCATGTAAATATGGCATGAGTCCTGAATACCTCCCTCGCGAGCACAGGCACTTGGAACGTCTCAATAAAAAAGGTAAATAAACACGAAATGTATTTACTACCAAAGTCTTATTGTTTCTCTACTCTCCTTCGCCTATTATTGTCGATAACTTGCTGTAAATTCCGTTCAAATGCTCATCGGCAACACACAAGTACACCGCACGCACGCCCTGTGCACAAACAACACGAATAAATGAGTTAATAATAAATGAAATACTCTTTTATTCTTGTTGTTTGTGCACAGGGCATGCATGCGGCCTACTTGTGTGTTGCAGATGACCATTTGAACGGCATTTACAGCAAGTTATCGACAATAATAGGCGAAGGAGAGTAGAGAAACAATAAGACTTTGGTAGTAAATACATTTCGTGTTTATTTACCATTGTTTTTTTAGTGAGACGTTCCAAGTGCCTGTGGTTTGTCGCGGGAGAGAGCTTAGGGGAAAGAGTAAGGAAGGAGGGAAGAAATGAGAAAGAAGCGACGAGAGGAAATTACGTTTCGACGGCTGATTGCCGGAGAGTGGTGTTGTGGATGGAGTCGGGTTCTTTCCTCGGTCTCTCCCTCGAAAGTTGTGAGTGGAGACACAGGCACTTGGAGCGTGTGTACATGTGTGTTGCAGCGGAGCATTTGCACGGCATTTACAGGAAATTGTTGGCAATAATAGGCGAAAGAGAGTAGAGAAACAGTGATAAAGTATTAAGACTTTGGTAATGAATAGATTTCGTATTTATGTAGCATTATATTTTATTGAAACGCTTCAAGTGCCTGTGAGTGGAGGAGAGGTTGCATCGTTCCTCGCCAGGGAAGTTACAGCTGCCCTATTGTTTCCACTGAGCTGCGCGCCCTCTGGTAAACGTAGTTGAGTGACAGACGATTCATGCGTTGCGTGCACTGAACTATAACAATTGTTAATTGTTACTTACTTAATTAATACTGCTAACATTTGTTATAGTTCAGTGGTTGCGTGTAGTGTGCGTGTGTGTCCGCGCGTGCGTGTGTGTATAGCGGAGCTATTAAATATCTGTATTACCGTGTGAAGCTTTAAGTATGAATAAAATTTTATCCATGTCTTTACATACAGGCGCCATTCTGGTTGTTATTTTGGCTGACATTTCGGCCCGATGCGGATGATTGGTAGGGCCTATTATTTTATGAATATGAATAATAAACAATATAGAATATGACAAACTAATTATAAATATGAATGAAATTTCACAGTACCGGCCTACTCATGCTAGGTGAGGACTACACACCTAAACTAGAGGACTACTCTATAGAGGACTACACATGCTAAACCAATGATAACTAGAAAGGGCAGTTGTCACGAACTACATGTATCCCCCGTGATCTAGTATGAATGAAATATCTCTGTAAGAACGTAGAAAGTAGGTAAAGTTAAATAAGTCACAACGACAAAGGTTTGT